AGGAGAGGTCCTGATATTGGGGCCCCATGATGGAATTAAGGTTTCATAAGAAGAGGAAAAGAGTCTGGAGCTAGCATTCTCCCTTACTCCACTATGTGATACCCTCCACCATTTTATGATGCTCAAGAAGGCCCTCACCAATGTGCTCCCTCAGTCTTGGATTTATCACCCTCATAGCCATAAACGCCTATTGCCTATAACTTAACCAGCTTTGATAGTCTGCTATAGCAGTAGAAAGTGACTAGGGCAATAAGGATGTGAGGAGGCTGACACTTTTACGCCCTACTAGTAGGATTGCCTATATGTACAGGTTCATAATCCCTTACTTATGTCCTTTTGGCCAGGTATGTTTCAGAATTCAGAATTTTTTTGATTTTAAAAAAGTAGTACAGGGACTTCCACTTCTGAGTAAGATATGTTGGGAGCTACTTGGAGAGGGGGAATGAACAGAACATATAAAATAATGGTCTTAGACATTAAACAATGAAAGATAGTGATCCCTGAAGGGAAAGAAAGAGATGACATAAAACCTAGAATTGCCCTTAAGTTACTACCTAGAGAAATTTTCTAAGCCATGAGTCAGAAAAGGGGACTGGATACAGAGTTAGGAGTTCAGGAAGGCCAACGTGGCTGGGGTTTGTGGGACAGAATATTGGTCAGGGGAGAGAGAGAAAACAAGTGGGTACTGACCCACTTATATAAGGAAACTAGCTGAGGTCAAAGAAAAGCCACCCCAAAAGGATTAGGTGAACAGTGTCCAAACTGACCTGAGCTAGGAATAATGACTGTTTCCACAGCTATCCTAGAAAGCTTTATAATTCACCAGACAGCACTGAGTACTAAGTAAGATCTTAGCCTGGAGGAAGAAAGAGGGCTATTAACCCTAGACTAACTGCTGCTTTGATCCCACCAACAAAACTTAAAAGCAAAACCTAAAAAGATTAAACCATTTTGAAGTACTTTAACCACATCCCAGAACAAAGCTCAAGGATATACAAGAATTTAAAATGTGCCCAACACTTAGCAAGGTTGAATTCACAGTGTCTGACATTTGATCAAAAATTACCACGCCTGCTGGGTAGTGAGGGAGTAGGGGGGGAGAGGGAGGGAGCAGGGAGGGGGTAAGGGGGGGGGGAGGGGGGAGAAATGACCCAAATATTGTATGCACATATGAATAAAATAAAAATTTTAAAAAAAAATTACCACGCACGCAAAGCAGAAGGAAAATATAAGTTATAATGAGGAGAGAAAAAAAAATCCATTAAAATTTTCAATCCAGAAATAGGTATTAGAATTAGTAAATGAAGACATTTAAAGTTATTGTAATTGTATGCTATATATTCAAGAAGCTAGAGGAAAAATCAAACATGTTGAATAAAGATAAAAAGGAAAAACAAAACATATAAAGATTAAAACTACAATGTTTGAAATGAAGAATATACCAGATGGTTAATATACCAGATTAACAGTAGAATTGGTATTGCAGAAGAAACCATTAGTGAACTTGACTGTATAGCAATGGAAAGAGATAGGTTTGACCTAATAATGTCTGATATTTTCCCAAATTTGGTGAGAAATATTAACCCAAAGATCCAAAAAAAAAAAAAATTAGAAAACTTCTAGCAGGAGAAATACAAAGAAACCCTCATTTAGTCACATCATCATAGTCATACTGCTGAGACTAAAGATAAAGAAGTCCAAAAGGAGCCAAGAAAAGACAATAGCTGACTTCTCATTTTAAGAAAAGGGAGGCCAGAGCACAATAAAAGTGTTAAAATAAAAGTAATATGGTGTATATATTACATATCAGTCCCAGCGTGACTTGGGCATCCCATAACCAAATGCTCATGTGAGATAAACTCTTCATAGCCTCACTTTAGCTCAGGTCAGGTTTTGCTGCTAGATGACTTTTGGTGCCAAAAGTTTTGTTAAAGCAATCCTTTTGGTTTCAGAGATTTGGAGATTTTACCATTATAGGAAAAAGGTTTGTGAACCTGTCTTGTCAGAAGAAAATTTGGCAGTAGATTTTTTTAATGTTCATACCCTTTTAAAGCAGGGCAATGGAAATGGTCAAGCTTGTGACAACATTTTTAATGATTAAAATATTTAAAACAATCAAAATGTTCTAAGAGCCTACAGTTGTTTAAATTAGTTATTGTGTATCTGTACAATGAATTAACTGTTTTGTAACCAAGAAAAATCACACTGTAGAAAAATATTGAAGTCAGGCACTGGTGGCTCATGCCTGTAATCCTAGCTACTTGGGAGGTTGAGATCAGTAATATCTCGGTTTGAGGCCAGCCAGGGCAAGTAGTTTGTGTGACCCCATCTCCAAAATAACTAGAGCAAAGTGGACTAGAAGTGTAGCTCAAGCAATCTAGCACCTGCTTAGCAAGCACAAAGCCCTAAGTTCAAACCCCAGTCCCACCAAAATAAAAAAAAAAGAAAAAGAAATATATTGATGTGGTAAAGTAAATATTAATGTACAACATAAAAAGATCACAAAACAGCGTTATTCCAAATGTAAATAGTTACCACTACGTGGTTGGATCGTTAATTTTATTTGCTTTTTTTGCGCTTTTATAGTTTCTAAATTTCCATTCATGTACATGTATTCCTTTTATAATCAGAAAAATTATGGCTTGTTAAAAAAAAGCGAAGTGATAAGGAAGGTATTCCTGTTCCTTTTAAACTTCAGCTCAAGGGGATCAGGAACCAATGTAAAGATCAGTTAGAGTTGAATCAACATGGGTCGTAACACATGGGTACATGAAAGCAATAGTGGGAATCTCTGTATAGCTATCCTTAACTCAACTAGCAGAAAACACTTTGTCTTCCTTATTTATGCTTATGTCTTATCTCAACAACATTAGTGATAGGCAGAACAGGAACCTGCCTGAAACTGGGCGGGCGGGGGGGGAAGAAGTGGAGAGGGAGCAGGTGAGAAATGACCCAAACAATGTATGCACATGTGAATAAATGAACAAAAAAAAGAGATTATATACACAACTTTTAGCAATTAAAAAATAATTAAATAAACTACAGTTCAGATTGATTAAGTCAGGAATCATTTTATTAGCAAAGATCAGCATTATTAAGGCCATAGCTCAGTATATCATCCATGTGTCCCCACAGCTGGCGTCTGCACACCTGGATTTAAAGTGTCTCTTTTAAGCTTCAACTGCCTAGCATTTCTTATGAGAATCCGTAAATGAAAAATAAGACCCTCTTCATGAGGAGCGAGCCATTCTGTACCATCATCAAACGCTCTCTGACTTAATCTCAGGAGACGCTTCCAGTATGAATTGTCCCTACCACATCTAGTTCTTGGCTTGTTTTAAAAAGTCTGCAGATTCTTTCATGAGGTCATTTTTTAAGCTTAAATATCTACATTGCTTTGCAAATCTATTCTCTCCCTTTTCAAAAAGAGCATAGCAGGAGTTAAAATTGGATCACTTTTTGCAAGCTACATCATACATCTGGAGTGAATTCCAGAGTATTAGTGTCATGGTATGTTACAGCAAGGACTGTCAAGTCTAATTTTTGCAGATCTGCTAAATCTGAAAGGGCAGTCTGGACAGGCAGCAGTTTTGATTCTTGTAGTTATTCTTAGAGTCAGGGAAAAAAGCACAAAAAGCCTGCAATGTGGTCTTCCTTGAGTAGAGATATGGCAGTGGCAGGAAAATCTTCATTTACAATGAAGGACCTGATAATTAGTCTATTGGGCTGAAAGAGTCCTGAGATCTTCAGTGCAGTCACTCTGTACTTAACGTCTTTCTCCATCATTCTGGACATAGACCAAGCTACCTATACTAAGGATTATAATTTTCTCTATCAGTTAATAAATGGGTACTCTAATTTCATATATTAGTCTCTGAATACTTTTTATGTGCTAGAATTCACTGAAGAAACAATATGGATTTGAAATTTTCATCATGGAAAAAGATTTTATAAGAAATTCAATCTCTAATAGATACAATCCTGTTGGTATTTTCTATTTCACCTTGGGTCCATGTTGTGTAAGTTCTGTTGTTTAGGAATATGTCCTTTTTATTTATGCTATAAATTTTGTTGATCTTTTCAAAGAACCTATATTTGGCTTTGTTAATTTTCTCTGTTGCTTTGTTTTATTTCTATTTCATTGATTTCTTCTCTTTATTATTTCCTTCCTCTACTTAGTTTAGTTTTATTTTTGATGTCCCCTTTTTAGTTTCTTCAGTGGAAATGTAGATCCTTTCTTTTAAATCTTTCTTATTTTCCAATATAGTATATATAGCTATAAATTTCTTTCTGACCAATGTTTAGCTATATTCTACATATTTCTTTTCAGGTAATAATTGATATAAAGTATACATAAAGTGTACAAATTTGGCAACTGTACACATCCATGAATCCATCACCACAATCAAGAAAATGGCCTGTCCACCACAATCAAAAATTTACTCCATTCCCTGGCAAGCACTTGTCAGCTTTCTGTCAGAATAGATTCATTGGCATTTTCTAGAATTTTAGGTAAATGGAACTATAAAATATATACACTTTTTTACCTTACTTCCTCTATTCAGCAAAATTACTTGAAATTCATCCATACTATTATAACAGGAGTTCTTTCCTTACTGACCTCTGCAAGAAATGCTGACCATTGCTTACTGCCTCAGTTGATTAACACCAAAGTTCAATAGCCATTTTAGTCTCTCACCATTTGATTAAAACCAACATGGACCATTTGTTCATTTTTCTTACCCTAATCATACTTTTATCTTGTGTAATTACTGCCTTTTTGATCTCCAGAAAACTTTCAAAGGAACTTAACATAAAACCTATTGTTAAGAACAACCTATTGGTTGTTCCTTTGAAAATACCTATTTTACACCAATTGTAGATTAATATGGTAGCTGCAATATTGGTTATACCAATTTTACTTAAATTATTTTGAATGTGGGTAAAATAAAGCTAGGCCAAAACTAAAAAGTTATTGAAATGTTTGCCTTTATTTCCAGGTAAAGATGTCTCCATCATATCATCAGTCTAAAGGGGATCCTCCTGCTAAGAAAGTGAGTTTTAAAAGCAAAAAAAAAAAAAAACCCAATTATTCCTTCTGTATGTTTATTCTCTTCTATTGAGCAACCTTCTCAAAACATCTTGACATGTGTGATCATGTTAATGCTCTTGGGTTCTTTCTGATTGGATGCTTTAATCACATAGTGCCAGGACTCCTTGCTTTTTCACAGAAGTCAGGTGGGGTTTGGGGCTCAGCATCAGTCTCCTGACAGCTGTCAGTGTTCTAGAACTGCCATCCTCTATGCCAGGCATGGCATCCTGGTATCAGCAAGTGGGTAGCAGATGAAAGATATTCTAAGGGGAAAGCCATATCGTTTTTCTTAATAACATGCTTTACCTCCAGATAGTTGTGCCTAAAAAAAACTGGCCAGAGAAACTAGCATTTCAGCATGTGCCACAGAAGAGGTCCTCAATAAATGCTTTAGACTCAACCTGTCATCTGTGCCACTTCAGTTCCTTGCTTGGCCCACCCCACATGGGCTATGAGTCCTTTACCTGAGCTGTGCTCAGATGATGGCAAGAAACCCTTTTCTCTATCTAACAGCAACAGGGCAGTTGAAGCATGTAAACAGACTGACATTTCTGTTGTGCTTTCTTCTACCATTTTTCTTTCTCTGATAGTTGAAGCGTTTTCTTTCTTTGCTTTTTTTTTTGTCAATTTCAGCCAGCATCCATGGCAGCAAAGGATGGTAGAACAAAAATAACTTGCTGGTTCTGTTGACTAACAGCAGGTTTTAGCTTCAAAGCAATGTGCCCAAAGCAGGTCCCTTTTGTTTATCTGCAAATCCCAAGACTTTTTCAAAAGGAAGAAGAATAAAAACACAATATATTGTCTGACAAGTGCTGTAACATGCTGTACATGAAAATCTCTTGCACTTTTGTCAAAGCAGCAAGGTCAGGCAAGACCCAGGCAATGATTGTTGCTTCTCAGCAACCACTGTAATGTGAGGAGCTAGAGGGAATCTGTATTAGTCAGCTTCATGTTACTGCAACAAGATACACTGAGATAAACTACCTATGGAAAAAAGGATTATTTAGCTCATAGTTTTGGAGGTTCAAGTCCAAGACCTGGTGGCCCCATGGGTTTGGGCTTCTGGCAAGGGTTGCTCATCATGGCACATCATAGTAGCAGCACACATTAAAGCAAGTCTTCACATCATGAGCCAGGAAGCAGAGAGGATGAGAACAGGGTCCCACAATCCCTTCCCAAGGGCATACACCACAGTGACTAAGGGGCTCCCATTAGGCCCCACCTCCCAGAGGTCCACAGCAACTTTCATCACTGTCATTCCCAGAGGCCAAGCCTTAAATGCATGGACCTTTGGAGTACATTCAACATCAAACCATAGTAGACCTAAGTCATTTAGTGTCACTCAAAAAACATATAAGAAAATTAGAATGCAGAGTGAAATTGAGTTTTGCTTATTTTATTTTATTGGTGGTACTGGGGCTTGAACTCAGGGCCTCACACTTGCTAGGCAAGTGTTCTACCACTTGAACCACTCTGCCAGCCCATTTTTATATTGGGTATTTTTGAGATTGGGTTTCTCAACTGTTTGCCTAGGCTGGCTTCAAACTGCAATCCTCCTGATCTCTGCCTCCTGAGTAGCTAGGATTACAAGCGTGAGCCACCAGTGCCTGGCTGGAAATTGGGTTTTGTATAAGTTTTCCAAATGTAGCCACAGGACACATTTCTAAAGTAGAGATTAAAAACATGTGCTTAGGATACAACCAAGATTTACTCTTCTACTTTATTATTGTTTGAATAACCCTGAATAACTTAGCGTCTCTTTTTTCCTCCTATGTAAAATAGTGATGCTCCCTCTCAGAATATCCCTAAAGATTAAATGAAATACTTTTTAAGTGCCTAAAACTTGGCTGTAACACATAACACGTACTCAAGCTGTTGTTGGCACTAATATTAAAACACCAGTCTCCCAACTCCTAAGCTTATGTCCTCCCATTTTATCTTGCTACTTTTATTTATTTTTGTCCACCAACAAGTATTCCTTTAATCTTGACATGAGCTAAGCACTGGACTAGTAGTGAAAAATATAGTCATTGTTCTCAGAAACCTCAGTAGTCAGTGGGAAAGGTACCCAAGCAAACTTAACAATTGCCATACAGCTGAATGCATGCCACAGAAGGTGCACAGAATGCTACCACCACCAAAAGAAGCCCTATCTTGAAATGACTGAGCAATTTAGTACAGCTTTTATGTTTTTATGATAAAAAGCCCAATGAAAAACTTTGAGGAATGGCTAGCTGCTCCCCTACAAGCTTGTTATCATGTTCTAGTAAAAGCAAATTCTGGCACACCTATAGGCATTTATTAAATAAATACTCATGTGGAAGTATGTTCTAGCAACCTATTTTTCATGCCTGGTAATCCTTCAGCTCTGTCATTTTGGGTGTCTGACCATCATCAGAGATGTGGCAACATTACAATCCACTTCAGACAACAGAAACTTCTAAGACATAACTGGACAAAGGTAGCCCCAAGTAGTATTCCTAAATGGTCAAGTGTACACTTACTCCCTCTTCATGCAAGAGTTGGGGCTATCTCTAAAGTGTTTTATCCAATCTGTATATCTCAAATACCTTTTATTAATGAGAGTCCATCCCAATACTGGCCATACTAAATAACAAGCCATTAATTTCACCAATTAATGCTTTTGGGTTTTAAGCTAATTCACAAAATCAGTAAGTAAAAAGCTGGGCTTTGGTAGCTGTCTGTGGGAGTTCATGTTAGCTAACTGCTCCTGAAATATAGACTTAATTAGGGCCACTGACTGTCCTAAGTTGAAGCCTAAACTAAATAGCATGTACTTATTATCACACTCTTTATGGTGTCTATAGTTCCTTTAACAACATATATCATAACAGGTGCCTACCCCAGGCTAAGGGTCAAGGAAGGCTTCCCAGTGGAAGAAAAGCTTTGTCTAGTCTCGAATAATAAGAGAAGAGGTATTCCAGGAAGACAGGATGAGTACAGCACTTGGGAGGGATTGAGGGTGGGCTGTGTGATACGAAAGCATGAGGAAGTCTGGTGAGAGGTAAATGGAGATCCAGTTTACAAATAGCCCCAATCTGAGGAGGTTGCTTTTTATCTTCAGAATGAATTTCCAACAAATATAAATTTTAAAGGCAGAAAGGCCAATTAAAAGAATAGGACGATTATCCAGGCAAGAAAAAAGGTCCTAACCCTGTGTTGATTGAGCAAACAGATGGCATAAATTCAAGTATTAGCTAGTTTTCTCCCAGAAAACTCTCTTCTAACACCCTCCCTAAGTCTAAGTTAATTATCCTTTGAGCTCACAGCACCCTCAACTAGTCTCTTCCAACACACTTATCTTGATGTGTTGAAACTGCCTTTTTACTTAAGGTATATCACTCATTAGTCATTGTTGCTGACCCAGGCTTATACTCTCAGCATTGCCATTTCCTTACTGTTTGCTCTGAATCAGCAGTATCCTGTGTGAGATTTATGTGAAGATCAATGGAAACTTGCACCACGTTATAGCTTCCCTAGTTAGGAGTGTATGTTTGTGTATGCATGTAGACATCTGCATTCTGGTTCTCCAAACTCTCACTGACTGATAGAAGCAGCAGTAGTGTCTATTGAACAGTGACTGCCAATGTACATGTGTAAGAAACACAAAGGAAGCAGTATGTTCTTGATCTAGCCAGTCTCTTGACCCATACCTGAACGAGGTGTTTAGTGACTCTGCTGCCAGCATTGGCCCTGCCAAGAGCTGAGTTCACATGCTGAGGAAACAGGAGCAGTGCTCTGTAGGGCTCTGCTAACTTACATTACACATGTCACACATAACAGTCACTTTTCAGGATCTCACTGTGCCATTCTGCTACCACATGTCAGAACATGTTGGCACATTCCACAACACATAGCTTTCCACAAGCATTTTGCTGGAAATGTTTATTGTATAAATATGTATAGAATATAAATTTGTATATAATGCTTATTTCATGTATATAAAATTTTTTCTGGAGGGGGTGGGGCAGTACTGGGGTTTGAACACAGGTCTGTGCACTTGCTAGGCAGGCACTCGCCCACTTGAGCCATGCCCCAAACCCCCCCAAATTTCCCCTTAATTTTCTTTAACTGATAGCTTCAATAACAAAGTTGAAAGATACATATGCTTCCCTAGGACTTTTTAGTTTTTGATCATAGATGACCATAAATTTAAAAGTCAGGAAGCACTGTTCTCCCTCTGATGAAAATTAACACAAAAGTCCATTACAGTGAGCACCATAGAAGAGCTCCAAACTGGAGGTGTTGACAGTGGTAAAAGTGGATTTCAGGAGCATAGAGTGAGTTGAAGGCACCATCAAAGACCACTTGGCTGTGATGCATTTCTTCTTGACTAGTCTTGACTATTAAAGAAGCATCCACAAGGAATTTTTGTAGCGATGTTGGTTCTGCTATATAACACAATCACCAGAGAAAGTGTTTTGTCATAAAGCTGGATTAGAAGCCTGACTACACTTCTGAACCTCTCCTGGTGCAGATCAGCTTTCTCTGCAGAAGCCAGGAGGTCCAGGTACTCTGACTGTAGACTCCTCAGGCTACCAATGCCAGTGGGAAGTCCACAGTTGATGTTCTCCTCAGAAAAACAGGACAATGGTCAGTGAAATACATAGTTCTTCCTCTCAGCACAACCAGTCAGTGGGTGACTGAACTGGTGGATTTAATAGCCAACCCTCTGAGAAACTGGTTTTCAGTTTCTCAATAGTCAGGTATGCTATAAAAATTTGGAGCTGGTTTTTCTTATTGCAAATGTTCTGAGTAAGGTTTTTATAGCACAAATCCTAGTCTTGCCACTCATGTCAAGAATGTAGATAGCTACACTTGCTCATGGTTTTTACTGAATTGCAGGTTTTTTTGGAGGGGAAAAGCCTTACCACTGTTTCCATAACAACAGGAAAGCTGTCTACAGTGTTTCAGCTGACTGACCCCAAGAATGACTGGTTA